TCTTCTTCTTCTTCTTCTTCTTCTTCTTCTTCTTCTTCTTCTTCTTCTTCTTCTTCTCCTTCTTCTCCTTCTTCTCCCCCTCCCCTTCCTATAGAATGCATTGTGCACTTCATCATAAGAGCTGGAACATGGAAATATCATTCTTACATTTTCCCCCTTGACCTCCAGATCAAGAGGCCATCCACAAAGATACAATCTGTTCTATTTTGGAGATTATTGGTTTACTTTGAGCCAGCCACAATCTGTAAGACCAATTTACCCCACCTTGTTGTTCGTGCGAAAACATAATGAGGAGAGTCAACCCAAAGGTGCTTTTTTCCTAAAGGCAACTGAACTTTCTTGATTTTTCTTTGGAAAATATTTTGCTTCTCATCCAAAAAGCTTTTCAGCTATGAAGAAGAACTTCTTCAGTTCAGAACTGAAGAAGCTTCTTGGATGAGAAGCAGGATGTTTTCAAAGAAAAAACTAAGAAAATCCGGTTGCCATTTGGAAAAATCATCTTTGGGACAACCATGACCTAGATGGTTGAGTATGAGGAGAGTTAATTGCTAGGGTAGCAGTGAAAGCAGCAGTTGTGGTCTTCTTCAGGACCAGTCTTACCATTAGACAGAGTAGAGGAGCTTGGGTCTTTTGAGGGCACTGGTTTTTATGCTTCGGTAGCATGATCACTGCTTGTGATGTCAGCTACTAACCCATGGGGTCAAATTAAACTTTGAGCACATTGTAATATTTTTAAACCCATGTGCAAATAGAGCTAAAACGATATAAAGTGCAGCACACAAACAGATGTTAGAAGACCAAAAACACAAGCAAGCTCCTCAAATAGCTGCGGTGACCTGAAAAGGGTCATATGAATCAGACTTTTGGATACTTCTTAAAATGTTTACTAGATTGGGGTTTTGAATAGGAGGAGCTTTTCCTCAACCCTCCGTATTGAGGTCATCTTCAGACTGCTGGCTGAGAGTCCATGTTGGCAGGCAGTACAGTGAATTTGTAAGATTTACATCCCAGGATTTGGCCAAATTCCACATGTTCCATTCAATTTAACATCTGTGTTCTCTTAAAATCCATGAGCGCAACATAATTTGAGAAACATCCTAGCCTTTCTCCAAATAATTTGCTTCATAGTTTTTACCAAGCTTCTTCCTAATACTTTCATTAAAACACTCCATCTTAAATATCAGTTTGGGTTTATGCTGAAGCATTACTTAATGTCAGGGTATGAGGCCATGTAACTTCAGTTTTGAGACCCTCAACCCCAAAAGAGGCTTTTGCCAACCTGATGTCTTCTTGATGGACTACAGTTCACATCATATCCCGGTAGCTTAGAGCAGTGGTCACCAACTGGTGGGCCGCGAGAAAATTTTGGTGGGCTGCAGAGAAATGTCATCCTCAGAGCACCCCCCAAAGCAATTAATTCATGCTACCCGGAAACACAAGGCTCCCCTGCCCACTCACTCCTTACCTGGCAAACTTGCCTGCTAAATTGCTATTTTTCCTTTTTCAGCTGTTCTGCTGTACCGGGAGATTTAGATTAGCTAGAAAGCAGGAAATTGTTGCATTTTTTGCTTTCTAGCTCGTCTTTAGACCTTAGGCTCTGCTTTTAAGCAGAGCCAAACCGTCCTTAGGACCGAAGCTTCGATTATTCAGTGCAGACTCAGGTAGCCGATGGCAGATAGATAGACCTCTAAATGATTGTGTGAGTAATTCAATCTGCCTGCCTTCTTCGCCTGGTTTTGGGTAAGAGTTGCTCTTTTTTATAAAAAAAAAATCAATATTTACATACATGGTGTATTGTGAGTTAATTTTGTGAGTTTGCTTGCAAGCAAATTTTATGTGACAGGTTCAGAAAGCCTATCTCACAGATCTCTGAACGCATCTGTGATTCTGTGAACAACTCAATCTGCCTGCCTGCTTTGCCTGATTTTGGGTAAAGGTTGCTCTTTTTTATTTAAAAAAATCAATATTTACATCAATATTTATAATATTTACATACAAGCCATGCCCAGCCAGTCACATGACCACCAAGCCACACCCACAAATGAGGCCATGCCCACAGAACCGGTTGTTAAGAAATTTGAATCCCACCCCTGCCTTTGTGTGTGTGTGTGTGTGTGTGTGTGTGTGTGTGTGTGTCCCATGTCAGCAAGCCACTGTCACTCAAAATTCATATTAGTGGTTCCCGGGATTTAAAATTATGAGTTTGGTGGTCCCTGAGGTCCAAAAGGATGGCGCCCCCTGGCTTCGAGACACTGTGAATTATAATTCAGTATATCTGAAAAGTATTAGGTTAGAGTAGAACCGGGGGTGGGCTGCTGAGGGTTCGCAGGGATTCAGGAGAGCCCCTAGCTAAGATTCTCTGCAATTCAGAGAACCCCCGAATCCCGCTCCTGGCTGGCCCCGCCCATCTCGCCCCTCCCAGGAGTTCCCAGGTGGCCCATTTTGGATGCAGGTAAGTGCAGGGCCACCACGGAGACTTGGGGAGGGTGAAAACGGGCTTCCCAGAAGTTCAGGAAGGCCAGAAACGGGCCTGTGTCTGGCTTCCAGAGAGCCTCCGGAGCCTGGGGTGGCCGTTTTCATCCTTTCAGAGGTTCGAGCAAAGCCTCCAGAGCCCGGGAGGGGGAAAATGCCCCTCCCCCACCATGGATGGGTGATTTCGAGTCTCTCTCTCTCTCTCTCTCCCCCTCTCCCCCCGCCAAAACTGATCTCACAGGGTGGTATTGTGAAGAAAATAGAAGGCAGGAATGTTCTGTATGTTTGCTCCCTTGAGTTACTTATAAAGTAATAAAAGTGGAATAAAAACAAAAACATAAATTATGCATAATTTTTTGTCTTGGACATGAAACATGGTTCGTGATATCATCTTGATCATGCTGATGGGATGATATTATTGGGCAGCAACTCAACATGTGGAGGTAGCCTGAACTATGCCAATATGATTCTTTATTCTGCAATTCAGTTCTTAAAATGAGTTTTCCCAACTCATCCAGAGGCAATCCACATAAAAAAGCCAGCCAGATAATTCTTGTAAACCAACTTGCCAAGCATGTTGTCAAGCCCAAAACTGACATATGAGTCAATTTTAGTTAGGGTTAGTATATATTCTTTTTCTTACTTTCTCTGTAGCAGTCATGGGGGAAAGGGTTTCGGGTTTGCCACATTCCTAAGTGGGGAGGAGTAGAGATAGGGAGAATTGTTAAGGCTAGGTGATTCTTCTTCCCGTGGGAAAATGAGCTGTCCATGGTCAGGCCCCTTGAGGTGAAGATTTATGACATCAAGTAACGTTGAATTACTTCTACTGGAGAATGTGACTTTTGGGAGTTGTTTCTAACTTTTAATATTGTGGGGTAATTCCAGGTTGTGTCAGATTGGGAATTACCACAAATTTTGCCAATTTGATGCTTTCCTAAATAAAGGAAATTGTGTTGGAAGATGGACTTTGTTCTTTTCTTTTTAAATGGATTCCATCACTTGGAAACCTGACATTATTTCAGACAACTCATTTCCCTACCCTATGTCCTCTCTGAGCAGAAAATGCAACTTTCTGCCTCTTTTATGGAATGAAATTGGAGTGGGGCAATCACCATAACTTTCATCGCTGTCGATTATTCTCTGCAGATACGCTTGAATGGCGGCCGCACACCCTATGAAGGCCAAGTGCAAATTCTCCACGAACACAATGGCACATTGATATGGGGGTCCATCTGCGGTGAAGGATGGGATATAATGGATGCCATGGTGGTTTGTCGCCAGCTGAATCTCGGCTACGCTAGCCATGCATTCCAGGTACAAGATTGTTTTAATTCCACGGGTGCAAACAAATTCCCGTTGTTATTCATTGCTCTTAGAATCCAGTAGTTCTTATCTAAAGACAAATTCTTTGAGTTTTCAGGCCAAGACTTACCGAATCCCAATTTGCAACATACACATTCCTTGTGTTCTTGGCATCATACACAACTTTCTTCTGTGTCTGTCCTTCTGCTTCCCTTTGCTTTCACCTTCCTTCTCCCTCTCCCCATATTTCTATGTAATTTACTTCCTTTCTTCCCTTCCTAACTCCTTTGAAAAGATATGAAGCTGAAACAGACATTGGTGTCCCTCTTCTGAGTTGCATGAAATTGGACTATAATTTGGGCGGATCAAAGAAATATGTTTTTACTGCCCAGAATAACCAGGAGCTACACTTACCTGTTATGTCCCTGACGGAGTCTGAATCCAAGGAGGAAGATGAACAGCTGACAGGGAGTGGGAGTGTGGCTCCATTGGCTGTAGAGGAAACTGGGGAAGGGCAAAGTCCAGCTGGGCAGAGCAGGGGGAGAGGGAGAACAAGGGAGAGGGAGTTCAGAGGAAGACCCAGCCCACCCCCAACTTCAAGCAGGGAGGAATGGAGAAGAGAGCAACGTGGGTTGCGTGGCTTATGGGGGAGGAAGGGGCCCTGATTCCCTTCATTATCCACAGCTGGGAAGAGAGTTTAAAAGAAATGCATGCTGAGAGGCAGCTGCTGGGAGCAAATGTGAGTTTATCTTGTGTTGACTTTGCTTATCTGTGTTCCTGGCATCTTCCCAACCTGTTGAGTTATTGCCGTGCCTTCACATCTGGAATTCCTTCTCCTGCCCTACCAGACTAATTATCTCATTTTGCCTTGATTGGACTTATAATTACAGTTTTTGTTGACCACGTTTTGGACTTGATTCTCTGCAGCCAAAGGCTGTTCCTGGGAGAGTTTTTCTCCAGCCCAGAAGGTAACCAGAACATTGGGGGCAAAGTTGGAGCTACTAAAGGAATTCCTATTGACTATTTGACTATGTTGCCTTTGGGGCATGCCCCGGGACATCACATTTACCAGTCAAAGATCAGTAACATGAAGAAGAAGAAGAATTATAATAGAATTGTGATAAATCAGATACTAGTTGACACTATTTCTTTTGTAGAAGCGGAGTATAATTTGAGGCTTCCATTTAATGTTCCACGGAACATCAATATTTATTTTTGGAGCATTGTGGCACATAAGCACAAGGGTTGCTTCGACATACCAGATCAAAAATCCACCAAGTCCCATGTTTTTATTAGTGGTTACTGACTTATTTCAAACAAAGAATGACGATGACTATCTACTTTGATCGTTAGTCCCCTGATATATGAAGGCTCCAATTCACCATCTTTTTATAGATACATTTTTTAAAATTATACTGTGTCAGGTCAAAGGGTTCCTTCCTGACATTTCTCATCTCTTGGGCTAATTGTAGCTCAAAAACTCCTCCTTTCAGCTATAGAAACTCACTGAGTGAGGTGAATACCCAAGTAAGCCACACTGAGTTCCTGAGGGAAAGGTGGATTATAACTCTAATAATAAAATGGCATATTTATGTCTTGTCTTTTCTCTGGAATGCTCAACCTAGGAATGGAACACCTCCCTTAATTTTAAGTTAGCCTTGAATTGTACTCTTTGATTGACAGAAAGGAGAAACATTAAGGTGAGCACTTTTCAACTACACTATTGAATTCCATTTGACTTGAATTACTTTCCCATTCAATTGATTTAGTCTTAGTTCTGGACACTCAACATTTTGGAGGCCCATTTTCGGCCACAAATGCCTGTTGAGCCAAAAATAACACATTCATCGCTCTTGTTAATCCAAGCAGTTGTGGCTGAAACCACGCAGCACAATAGCTAGGCAGCAAGAAGGAAAGTGACAAATTGAAGGCCCTGGAAAGATATTTAAGATGACATCATTTGCAACCATTGAGAATTGGACCACCCATATTTCAGAAGGGTACAGCTGGAGAGGCTGTCTTCTCTACACAGCATCTTCTGCCGCAGTAGCCCTGTTGAACTAGCAGTTATATCTGGTCCTATTCCTGCTGGCTTACTGTGATCAATTTTGATGCATTACATCAATGGTTCTCATTCTTTCCCTCGCAAAAGATTCCTTTAAATATATTTTGTGGCCACGGGCCATGGGCACGGACCCCCCAAGATTTAATTCAAGGTTTAAATCGTAACATGTTTTCAAGCTTTCATGGACCTCCTGTGACTACAGGCTGGCAATTATATGGATCCTGCAGCTACATCACAGTTCCCATCCTATCTTTTTCCAAATCTAAATTTTTATAAGTTAAAGATGAAAGAAAGGAAAGAGACACCTGGAAAAATCTTAAGAGGACAAGCCATGAGAGAGGGAGTAAGCTAGGAGGAGAGAAGTAGGAAAGGAAAGAGGTGGGGGTTAATTTCACAAAAATGCAGGGGAACCCCACACCCCAAAAACTTTACCCAAAGTTTCTGTGTCTCTGTGAAATAACTCCTTTGAGAATCCCATCCGCAGAGGCAAACAGCAAGCCACAATAGCTACTTAGTAGTAAGTAGATCTCATTATAATAAAACTCTATTTACAGCCCTTTTTGTGTATTTACCTCCTCACTTGTAAATTCGCCATCCAATCACTTCATTCATAAGTAGGTAGATAGGTGGGTAGATTGGTAGATTGATAGGTAGTTGGGTAGGTAGGGTGAGTGAGTGTGAGTGATGAATATAGATAGGTAGGTAAATTGGTAGGTAGCTAGCTGAGAGAGTACCTACCTACCAATTTAGATATATGGAAGGATGGATGCAGCGGTGGTATTCAGCAGGTTCTGACCAGTTCTGGAGAACCGGTAGCTGAGTTTCTCCAGCCATTTCTCTGGTCGTGCCAGTGTTATGGATGGCTTTAAATGGGCAAACTGGTCATAGAACTAACTCTGTGTATACAGAGAGCATCTCTTGTTACTGCTCCCTGCTCACTTTTTAAGTGTCTCAAAGGTTTGAGCCTTGAATGTATTTCAAAAGCATCATACCTAGAAGTGAATACTTGAGGAGAAACATACTTTCACTGAGTTTTATATCCCGTGATGAGGCATGCACAAAAATAGTCAATTTTTGGAAGCTGACTTGCCTGTTTTGTGCAAAAGACAAATAATAATACATCCCAGAGATGGTATTCAGCCAGTTCTGATCAGTTCTGAAGAACCAATAGCGGAAATTTTGAGTCATTCAGAGAATTGGCAAATCCCGCCTCTGACTGGCCCCGCCCCCATCTATTCTCCGCCTCCCCAGTTCCAGCTGATTGGCTGGGTCTCCTTTGGTTGCCCTGCACAGGAGAACGGAGCTGGAAAGCAGGTTAGAGGGGTGGGGAGGGAATGGGGATTTTGCAGTAACCTTCCCCTGCCACGCCCATGCTGCCATGCCACACTGGGACAGATGGATGGATGGATGGATAAATAGATGGATAGAGAGATAGATAAATAGATAGGTAAGTAGGTAGTTAGGTAGGAGATGGGTGGATGTTAGGTAGGTAGACAGGTAGATAGGGTGAGTGAGTGAGTGAGTGAGTGAGTGAGTGAGTGAGTGATAAATAAATTGGTGGCAGGAAAGAGAGAGGGCATCAGTTTCATAGAAGAATGGCTCTCTCCAGAAAAATGCTTGGGAAATGTATTTTTTTAACGAGGATTTCAGTGTTTGACCTGTGACTTGTTGCAACTCTCTTCATCTCCTCCTTCAGCCTTTCCCCAGGAAATAGGTTGGGCCAGCACACAAGTCAGAAGGGAAGAGCAGTGAAGGAACTCTTGCCTCTTGCAAGTTCAGCTCCATTGAAAAGCCCCTCCCCCCGCAAGGTCTGGTTTATTTTTTCATACAGCAGCCAATTTTTGGTTCAGGAGGTGAGGAGGACTACTATGTCCACCGAATGCCCCCGTTTCCAATCTCTCTGTGATGTTGACATTAGCGGCCCTTATGCCTGATGGAAGAAGGCATTTCCTCGCGCTGGATCTGCTTATTTTGGAAACAGAGGTCCTTGTGTTTGCTCCAGCCTGCCCCACTCCTCAAGGAGCATTCAGCCCCTCTGTATGTGTGGAACAGACTTACTCTGTGGAGGTTTGCATGCCAAGAAGCCATTTTAACGAGGTGCTGCCTGATGCTAGGAACGTCCTGTTTATTAGCAGGATCTTGGTGGCCTGTTTCTTAGGTGGAATATAAAGAAGAGATTCTGAACTTTGGACAGTCATTACTATAATCTGCTGTTTTTCTTGCCTGGTTTTTATACATCTGATTATAGTGAAGTGTTAACATATTCAGGATTAGGAGATGCAGTGGCTCGGTGGCTTAATGACGCTGGAGATGGCCTTTGCTCCAGTAGTTCAAGTCCTAGCACAGCGTGGCAGGGTGAGCTCCCATCACTGGCCTCAGCTTCTTTCCACTGAGCAGTTTGAAAGCACGCGACATGCAAGTAGTTGCCAATGGGTACCATTTTGATGGCGGAATGAGCCGGCCCTTCACGCAGACAGTTAGAATTTTGCTGGCCCTGGGACTTCCCAGGTGCCACACCAATTTGCCAGGTGGCTTGAGTAGAGGGAGGGGACCCTACGTGCTGCTGCAGGAAAGCTGCTCATCTTTCACCAAGCCACGCCCACATGACCAAGCCACGTCCACAGTAAAAAAAATTGAATCCCACCACCGGCCACAATCATATGCAAAATAAATAAATTAATTAATATTAACATTCAGGATTCCATCACCACCACTGAACTGTTTCCAAGATGACCTGTGTTAGTAGGTTCTTGATCTTCACCCCATCTTCCAAAGCGGGTATATTCATTCTCTATTCTGAGATGTAAGAATAGAGAAGATGTAAACTTACTAACTATGGTGTTAAAAGTGCAGCGTTGTCATGGAGCTGGGGTTCGAACATTCTTCCAGATGCAGAAATCTAGCACGGGATTTTTTTAGGGGGTAACAACACAATCTCGCAAGAATT